CAATAAATTTCAAAGGTATATTCAAAAATGATGACGTTCTTTAGAATTATATAAAATTCTAGTTTTCGTCGTTTAGACAAAATTTATTATTCCATAGAAAACATTTCACTAAAACTATTTATGACATTTGGAAGAAAATCTTTATTTTAATTTTTGTCTAACTCCGCCTGAAGCCCTTCTAGGGCTACTGCCGGTCCAATGTTTGAATAAAAGAGGAGGATTATATAAAGGGTTAGCGACCTCATCCCATAAAAAACCAATTCGCTAAAAAGAACGCTAATCAAAAGAAGTAATCCATTTATTTTCGTCTGCGCATTATACTAAATTAAGGGAATTACAAATTAAATGCATTTAGTTAATTTCTTATTAGAATTAACCAACATACTATTAATAGTATACTTAATCTGTTATAAAAAGAATATGATACGCTTACTAATATTGTTTCCCATCGGTCTGCAAACTGATCTATCGTTTCTACAAGTTGATTTGTTTCATTCCTGTTTTTTTTTTAAATTTAATTCATGGGGGTGATAGAAATAGAAATATAAGAAATACTCATAGAATCAAGTAAATCGATAAAAAAAAGAAACACACTTCGACATACAACGATAAAACTGACCTATCTCTTGAAGGTCAAATGAGAGGAGTAGAAAGTTCAAAATTCTTAAGATTTATGATGCCTACATAAAACATACACTCTTCTCTTATTTATAATGGTAATAAGCGATAAAGGTGATATAGTTCTAGTGGATATATATACCGGCTGATCAAACGAAAAGTTGTCCACATTTTAGATTCTTGTTGATAAACTATATTATTAGAAATTCATTAATTTGCCCTTTTGATCGTGCTCTTATTAGTGCGAATAATTTTGGGTAGATGAAAGACTTGTTTTATTTGAATCTATTATCAAATAAACTGATGAATATTCTTAAAAGAACCTGTTTAAGAATACAAGAATATTTATAAGATATACAATAGTACTAGTCACATGAGGATTGGAAAGGGTAATCACAGGTAATCGTAGGTCAGGTTTATCTGATCCACAAGAGTATGTATTTTAAAGTGCATAGTGTCGCTTGATTCTTCTCAGTACTTAGTAAAACAAAGGTTCGTTTACATATGAAATCAAGTGTGTAATATTCAGCTAAAACGTAAAGCATCTAAGAAGAGTTTTGGAATCCCCCGCAGTCTCACCGGAGCTACCTGATTTACACATCTACTCAGAATCAATAATTATCCTGAAATCTTGCTTATAAATACAGTCAGTGAATACAAGGTAAAGACCCTGGAAGTGGATAGGGCATACATTGGAGAAACCACCAAACTGCATCACGATGCAATAGCGAACTTCGAATCCTGAAGGGAAATGGAAAATAGGAAAGACAAAGGAACACATTGCGTCCGCAGTCGGAAGCACACTCCAAAAGAATGAATAGAGAAATGAAAGGATTGTCTAGGACAGAGTTCTATAGAGAATGGAGGTGAAGGCTTATGCTCCTCGCCGATGGGAAACCGGCGCAGGTAAATATATAAGGTATTCAGTACATATGAGGTTTGATATTATGAAAACAAGGTTTCATGGATTTTTCTGAACTAAAAGATTGCACTGCAAAATGGGTGACAAGTTTAATGTAAAATGCTTTGAATCGTTCTAATACAACACAAAGCTTCAAAGATTTCAGCGATCACCTTTTAACTATTCCTTCAATCTTATAAATGTAATCAACGAAACTAAAAAGATTCCCCATGCATAGTGAAACTCTTAGTATAAGCGAAGTAAAATCCTAAAAAAATTCTTAAAAACAGACTTTGTAAATAGGATTGGATTAAAATTAAAAAGACTACTCACTTTCCACCAGTATGTCTTGATTTCCATTGTGCAAGTATACCAGAACTAATTGTTGTTTGTTGACTTTGTGAATCGTTTTCATTATTAAATAACATTGACAAATTCCTTATTGTCCCAGATGATGGTACTTCTAATTTGACTGAAGCATTTTCATGTACACCTTTTAAATTTAGACTAGAGTTTTAATATAAAATTTTAATTACCAGATGAAATGAATGGTTTACATAAATTATTAGATAAGATTGGTGACTTTTTTCCATGCAGATGTGCTTGTTGACGTACACGTGTTTCACAAAGGCGTCTTGTTGCATGTTTTCTTATTACTGCCTATAAAGTACAGAATAAAAATATTTTCACTTAGATATTATATATATGTATATACGGAATAGTAATTTATTATGGAAAATCTAACCAATAAAATACATAAAAATGCATTTTCTTTCATTTATACTGTAGTGAAGGAGAACACAGGTGACGACATCCGAATTGTATTTAGCACAAAATTACAGAGTTACTTGGTAAAATGGAAAAACCGTACTATAATAATTAATTTGCAAAATGTTCAATAATTGTCTCGAACTTCGTTGCTCTTGCATTTCCATGCTAATTGCTTTCTATTCCCGCTTTTTCTTTTCTGATCTTCCCCGTCTTCTGCTGCCAGAAATTACATTCCTGATTCACGTTATATACTACTTATATCAATATAAGTAGCACGCACCACAATACTACATAGCAATATTAATTGAATATAAGTCAGTGTATATTGACCCAAACTACTGTTTCATTCTTATAACCATAAGCTCAAGTGACCATAGTGTAAAAAGTATGTTCCGTCATAAAATTCGGTTAGAAAGATTCTTGAGTAGTATTCTATATTATTCTTTTACTACATATACCATATGAAAACATAAAAATGTACTGAATAATGTTGAATTAAGTGTTTAGTATTGTTGACTAATTGGAAGATCATACAAAAACATGTTTACTCTTACATGTATACATAAAATTAGGTTAACACTGAGTTTATAAATATTAGCCATTTCAAATTAATTAGGTCTATGGTAAATTTTTATGATCATATCTCGAGAAACAGAATATTGAACTCCTGACAGTTTGTATGGTCCATTTTTATGAAATATTCCACTTGTATAAGATTATAACATAATCGCAGTGTGAATTCACTAACACAAGTAGAGTAATTTACAAAATGATATGCTTCATTAAGGGGCAATGTTAACGAAAAAGAACACTAAGATTATAGTATCCTATCTTTGTTTAAGCTTAATGATAACGATTTATTTAAGTTAAACCATTTCTTTTGTTGTAATCCAATGAATAGAAAAATTGTATTTCTGACGTTACATGACTTGATATAAGCCGCTTATTCAGAGTATTCATTTGTTTTTACTCTGAAGAAGTGGCTTACATCAAGTCACGAAACATTAACTCCCTACTTAATTCTCAATTTATTTGAAACTATGAAGTCTAACCATGGTAGTGATACCATTTCTACTAACATTCTGGTATGTATTAACTTGAAAGAGTCACCTACTGTGATTTAAAATAAAGTAAATATTATGAAATCACCTGCTCTAATGAGTGATTAATTAGTATACATTATATTTAGTTATTCTATTTTTCAACTAGATTCCTTGTTCAACAAAAAAAACAGGGATTTTCCTGACATCCATTGTAAGCTATAAGTTGAAGCATTTTGATTGTATCTAGCATTGCAATTTCGGCAATGTTACTATATTTATCTATTAGGTCTTAAGGAAACTGACCTGACCGTTGTAATGATTCACACTTAATCAAAATGTGAGTGGTCAAATCGTCTTAACAACAGCTTAGGATTATTTGGAACTCTTGAAGCAATGAAATAATGAAATAATCTGAACTATTTTTAGTAAGTTTATTGATGAAAGCAAGTGTTACAGTAAGGTATATTAAAGTCATAGTAATTTTAATTTTGATTAAAAACAAAAATCCCAATCCATGACTATTTAAAGGTATTATTTGGTAAAACAGGAAGTAGATGTGGGTGATACAAAGGAAACGATTATCATTTTATAGTTAGAATAATAATAATAATAATCTGGTTAGCATATGATTTAATAGGCCACCTTTGGTATAACTCTATAAGTTATACCACATGGAAAATATTGACATGCATCTTAAGTATATGCGTTTGTAAAACTTGATGAGTTTCTCAACTAAATTTGAAACTCAGGAAACATATCTTAGGTATTAAAATCGGAAGTATTTATACGCTTTACCTTCTGTCTGTAAATTATAGGTTTGGTGTGTGTTGTTCATAAATTCTACTAGATTTTTTCTGTTTTATGAATTGTATACATTCTCTTTAAGTCATTCTGTCTATGTGTAAACTTCTTTACTACTACTGATACTTTGACAGTGTTCATCTCTTTGAGATATGTCATCATAATTTAGTCTCATTATGGTAAGATGGTGTAGAAACTTGAACTAAAATGCATGTCCCATGTCCTGCATTACATATGATTGATTGTATGTTATCTTCTTATAAGTGACTCAGAACAGTTGTCTAACGGATATGTACAAAGCATTTTGATCAAATTTGTTGTAATATTTTCAAGAATATTACATCAAGTTAGGGGAAAATTAACTACTATGAAAAAGTGGTTCGTTATATCTAGTTGAGCTGTTTTATTAATGATCAACTTCTCTTACAAATAATGAACATTAAATGAATATCCCACACATTAGGTTTATACTTACACAGTTTGTCTACTCTCAGTATTTAGAGATAGTATATTCCGCTATCATTTTGAGATTAAAAGATAAACTACTTGTAGCTATGTTACTTGGCTCAGAGTTACTATTTTGTTACATTCGCTATAATATAGACATATAACTATGGAACTTTTGAAGTTTGATTCAATAGTTTTATAGACCACAACACTATACAGTTGATAACTATACAAATGAAATCAGTAATAACTGATAATTCACACACATACACACAAACATTAAAATCATTACATTTGCGTGTACCAATCAATTAAAAAAAGATTGCTAGTTTTACTCACTCATACCTCAGCGTCTGGATGATCTTTCAATGCTTTTAAAATATCTTCTCGAGACAATACAAATAATTCGGCATAGCCAACAGCACGTACATCAGCTGTTCGTCTAAGTAAAATGAAAATAGGATTATGAAATATATTCATGTGTGGTATAGCACATGAAATCTTACTGATATATATGGTTGTTTAACTGTGAAATTTTATTTATATTTAATTAAGTATTTTCACGAATCACTATAAGCTAGACTCCCACTGAAAACTTAGAAGCACTGGACAGCCGTTTCGTCCTAGTATGGGACTCCTCAACAATGCGCATCCACGACCTCGCGTGCGGGGCTTGAACCCAGAACAATCAGTCTCACGGACAAACTCTTAACATCTAGACTACTGCTAATAGATATAGGGTTGTGCATGATCATGGATCAATTGAAGTTACACATTAACGCTGTTCGATACTGACTCATTGATCTAGAAGTTAAGCATTCGCACACGAGACCGAAAGTCCTGGGTTTGAGTCCTACATGCGGGATCATGGATGCACACTGTTGAAGAGCCCCATACTCGGATGAGACGACTATCCAATGCTTCCAGGTTTACACTAGTGATCTAGCTTAGATCAACTAGTGAAGTCAATCATAATTTTCAGTTAGAATCAATTGAATATGAGTTCATCACATGGTAAAATAACATAAATAACTAAGAATGTTGAATGTATTCCACTTAGATCCAATTAGACTTTTATTAATTAAACGATAATGAATTCTGTAGATGTGATACTAAGTGTTCTTTAAAACTTTCCAGTTAAAATTCAATGTAATTCATTGCTTAATGTCTTGTATTTGTAGCTAATTTCAGTACCTTATTTGTTAAACAAACAAGAAAAAAGAAAGGATAGTTATCATTTATCTTATATAAATATCTTTTTATTCCTATTGTTTATACAGTAAAAAAAGTTAAATTCATTGGGGTTATTAAATAGTTGTCTAAGAATATAAGAACATTATAACCAAGATAAATAAGAGTTTCTACTTAAAGCTTTTATTGTTTAAACATAAAACACAATGTCTTTTTTACTGAATGGAATACAATTTACAAGAATTAAAAGAACAAATATTTCTATCCGACAAAACTATTTACTTAAGCTATATGTTCGTATTTATAATTGTTTGGTAAATATGAATAGGGTTTTGGATTAGAATTTGACGGGGTGAGATCGTGGATGCTCACTGCTGAGAAGTCTCACACTAGGATGAAAAAGTAGTTTAGTGTTTCCAGGTTTTCCATGGTGGTCCAGCTTCGACTGACTTATCGACTCAACTATTAAACATGGAAAACTTGAATAAATGAATTTCGAAATCTCTGAGAAAAGATTTATGTTGTGTTCTCGACCCGGTATATCATTCATGGATATGTTAAATATAAATTTCCGCTTTGAGCTACATCAATAAGTTCATTTGCATTTGTGAGGCTAGCTACATTGATTCATCCTAAGCGAACACTTTTTAAACGTATTTCAGAACATTACTAGTCATGATTTTTAAAATAGCAATACAACACTATCACGGGCTCATCATTTCTGGGCTCATTGCTCCAATGTAATCGTCTTTTACAGTAATATTGAGATTCAAAAGAAGTAGATCAAAGGGAAATCGTATCAACATCTTGTGTATTGCTAAAGTATTAGAAATTCAACGATTCGAAACCAAGTTATGCGTGCAAAATGAAACATGTCCCACCTTTCATCCTTCGATATTCCAAATCTCAGATAACTTTATTATGTAATCTTTTTTTTCCTTCTATAGGCTAATATATTTATCATACGACCATGTGAACCATTTCACGTTAAACTAAGAATGATTTGTCCCCCAAAATAATTTGACTGATGATATGTTATTTATTTGGCAAAATACTAATCTGTTATATATTAACAGTACATATAAAATGCACCCCTACCCGATATATTTATAATTCATTTCCATAGGCTACTAAATGTTTTAAAATCCCCCCACTCCATCAAACTAACATATGAATTAAATAAGCTAGATTACCATTGAAAACCTAGAAGCACTGGACGGACGTTTCGTCCTAGTATAGGACTCATGAATTCAAATATTAAAATTACTACAATCTCCATGAACCCAATTCTGATAATATGAATGAAGATCATTTTTTCAATAAATTTGCTTCAGGTTCGATAAATGACTGAGAATGATTAATTCATGCCATCAGTATAATCAATTTATACTGCATGCAACAGTATCGAGTTATTCACTATCTCCACTACATCTCTGCTTATATATACTGGAAGGTATCCGCAGGTATGAAAGGCGTTTAGTTCCTCTTCAAACGTTTCCGTAGAATATAAATTACATACTCTATAACTAAAGATCTTGATAAAGTTTATTTTGTACTGTAAAGGTACAAAGTTAAAGAAATGTGTACTTACCTGTTCAGTCACTTTTCCTATTTAATTCTCTTCTTATTGACCCACTTGCTATTTTTATTAAAAGATTACCCAAAAATCAAATCCTACCCTCAAATTCCTCTTAAGACCTAAACTTAGTGTAGGGAGCCTTCTTTCCTGAAATTTCCGAAAAGAAGACTCCCTACACAAATTAATAAAGGGTTATATAAACTTGTTAACCTCAAGTGCAAAATTATATTAGAACGTGTGAAACTGGATTTTTATAAATCTTGATTGTCAAGTTAAATATTTCAGAATCAGTTATGTAAGAATATTCGGCCAACAAAATATTACAAATCTTATTCGACTGAGGAAATTCTATGTAGACAAATGTCGTGTTAAGTTGATCAATTTAATTGAATTGCATACTTAAGCATTACCTGTAACAAGAGAAATGTCTATTGTTTGCCATATTAAATTCATCAATTTTTGTAGTACTGTTATTTTGAAAATGAATGAAGGGATCAGAAATAAGCTGGAAAAGTCTTGCTGTAATAATAATATTCATCTGCCTTCTTTCCCAATCAATTCTGATAAATATGTCATTAGTTTATTCTTCATTGTATGGTCCATTTATGAAAAGGAGGCATATTCTCTGAGTTTCTTATTTTTCTGTCCCTACAACACAAATCTCTGAAGTAACAATCAATACCCGATTTGAAAACCTTTATGATCGATTGAGTACTTTAGCCTCTTCATTTGGTTTAAAGCTAAACAAGTGGATATAGAGCACCTGTTTCATTCTTCTGAATCAAAGCACAGAAGCATATTAACTTCACAGCACTTCAAGTCATTAAAAAATTTGCTAAATAATGCCAATATTATAATAGTTAAACCTGATATAGGATATGGTGTTGTTATTACGAATAAATCTAGTTACAAAAATCAAATGTAACCCATCCTCAGTGATAAAAACAAATTTCTGGCTAATGTTGACTCCGATAGATTGGAAACCAAAGTAAACTCGAATCTAATGATATCGTTAAACATGAATGCTATTTACAAAGATGTGTTTAATTTATTAAAACCTATGGGTTTGCTTTATCCTAATTTATATAGAGTACCGAAAATCCATAAGCCTAATACCCCCATACGTTCAATTCTATCAATGTGTCGATCACCTACACACAACCTTGCAAAATGGCTAACAAAAGTACTAAACCATATCCGAAATCACTTTTGTAGGTATTTCTTGATTGAATCATTTGGATTGATTTAGTGGATGTGAATATAAAAACAAAGACAATGTTCTCCATTGATGTGAACACTTTAAATTACAAATGTACCTCTTAGGAAAACTACTGATATTTTATGTGACTATATGTCATTGAATAACCTTCCATTGCCATTTCCTGTTAAATCTTTCAAAGATTTATTATCATTGTGTACAAAAAACGTAAAATTCACTTTTGAGGGTGGGCACTTTCGACAAATCAATGGCGTAGCTGTGGGTAGCCCTTTAGGACGGTTGCTGGTTGATGTGTTTATGGGATATGTTAAAAATCCAGCTGAAGTCTCAATTCGATAGATGTGTCTGTACAAACGATACGTTGATGAAATAATTATCATACGGAACAAACATGAAGATGTGAACTGCTTGCTAAAAGAGCTCAACACAAATCAAAAGCATATTCCTCTTACATGTGGGGAAAAGAAGAATAAACAACATCTTTTCTAGACATATTGATTAGTAGGAAAGATGATGGTCTCATCAAATGTTCTGTATATAGAAAGCCGACACGGACAGGGCAATATCTTCATTTTTATAGTCACTGCTCAATTCATTACAAACGTGGATTGATAAAAAGTTTATTCAATAGAATCAATCATACTTGTACTCGAGATAATATTGAAGTAGAGACGAAGCTCATGACTGAAACAATAATGAATTGCAGTTATTTGTTGAAATTTATAAACCCCTAGAAGGGTTGCTATACGATAAGATCTATGACGCTTCTGGCACTCAAAAAACAAGTTTACATTATAATGCCATTCAGGGGCGATTGAAATAGTTTCATTTTGAAACGGAGACTTAAATTAACCATCTACAGGACGTTTCAACTTTATCCATTTATGTACAGGTTTTGCCGTTGAACTTGAAATTCACATTCGTGACAGTTCAGAAATGTCTCCTGTATGCCAATAATTGGAGCTGTAGTTTTTATATCTATTTTTCTGAATCATTCACATATTTATTCTACAGCCTGTACGAATGTGACATCTCTGACTGATGATGTCACATCGAAAGACAACCTTTTATTCCATAATAATGACATTTTGGTCTCATCAGCAAATTGCAAAAACATCCCAAACATTATGCTGCACGAGTTTATTATGAAACGGTTTCGTCAATGTATTTGCCAATAATATAGCTAACAGTTCATAAATAACATTGTAAATAGGAACATCGATTACTTGAATGACATATACGAAAACAGTTTTCCTATAGTTAGAGTACAATGTGATTTTCCAATTGAATAACTACTGACGAATAAATACTTGTCGATTCAAATAAAAAGAATAGAACATAATAGACAAATATGGATTTCGTTGATTGGTTGAAGTTAGACATTAACACCGTTGGATGACAACCGGCTCAGTGGTCTAATGGTTAGGCGCTTTCACGCGAGACTGATAGGTCCTGGGTTCAAATCTCGAGGGGGTGATCACACAGCTGAGGAGTCCCATACTAGGACGAAACGGTTATCCAGTAATTCCAGAAAGAAAATAATGGTTATTGTATTGAATGATTACAAAATCATCTTATAGTTTCACGATGAAATTTAATTTCAGTTTTTCTAAATGTTTATTAATTAACTTACTTATTTACTCCATCCACATTCAGCACTCCGATTTCACCAAAGAAATCACCAGCACTCATCTTTGATAAAACTTCATTAGAATCACTAAGGAAATCATAATAATAATAATAAAACGTTGATAATTTTATTAAATCATAAATTTAAATATTATGAATCTATTTCTGTCACATATTTCAGAAGAAAGATTTTTGTTTAGAAAGTAAATGATTATGTTCAAGCTGAATATGGATTAATACTTGAATGGATTGATTTGATAGCCTCATTATTTTCAGTTGTATAGTTTCTATTTAATGGAGAGAGATGGCTTGTTGGATTTGGCGGTTAATTTCAAGCACTGAGTCATAGATTTAAATTCTCCTCAACCTACATCAGTTTGCGTAAATGATTAATACTTCTAATGATCATACATGGAATGTGGCTCTAAACCAAATACTGGAATTCGTACCGGATAATTGAGTGACCAAATAAAAACAATACGATTTATATGACAGTGATTAATTACCGAAATTGTCAACAGATTTGTAACTCAATAGATGACCGACTGTAACAGGTTAAGTTATTTATCCTACTCAACTGATAAATGTTTTTTAACTCATGGATTTCTTTTGTAAATGTAATACCGATATCTCATACATAATATTCACTAGTAGCTATAATCGGAAGTGTAAACTACTCCAGTTGAGTCATAATTATAAACTTTATTAAAAAGTACACAATACTAATTTTATAAATTAGTACTCATTAAATGATAATGACGGTTCTCGAATTTCTCGTCATCTTGGATTAGAAAATTGTTCGCAGTGAGAGCGTCAAAAATTAGTGTGGTATGGTTTTCAAATACTCAAACTCTATATCTTGTTTCAAAGAAGAACATATATAATCAAGGAATAGACTATCAAACAGCTTAACGTAGAGTTAATAATTCCGAAATTCCGTTTTAAACTACTGAATAATAAACGTGAATATCTTCAGTTAACTCACCTTAAAACTTCAAGTACACCATCTGCAATGATAAATATTTCACGTGCTATTTCACCTTTACGACATATTAAATCACCCGGTGTGAAAACCAGTGGACGCATTTTCAAAACAATATCATGTAAAAATTCTGGTCGACATTCATGAAAAATAGTTACCTATGACAGAAAAAAGTGTCAAATGTTTATATAATGATTATTTGACCAATACTAAGACGATCTTTTATATCTAAGACTAAACATTCAGACAGCTGAATAAGAGTGAAACAACAGAAAACATGTTTCACACTTGTTTTTAAATCCTCAAAAAACTTCAGAAATCCTGATTAAGAGTTTGTGGAAATAGTCAGGACTGTTAGAAATACTGATTTTTATGAGAACATTTCTATTGTAGAATGGTTATGATTAGATTCGGCAATGTGAATATTATGGATTGATATGGGATAATGAATTTATGTAAAATAGTTTGATTATGTTTCGGTTTGGCTGGTATCAAACACATTTCCTAAAAACATTGATTTTCTTCTATGTGATATTTTGGATTCATTTACTTTTAGGGATTAATTTTGTAACTAATGTTAAGCCGGTCTCGTTTCCATTCTGAATCGAATTCTGTCGATAAAGCTGTATTGTGACTATTGAGTTACTCAGTCTAGCATGAACAGTGTTTCGATGTTCCGTTGTTTGGAGTGATTGACAACAAGTTCTAGACGCAGTTTTGTAATAGGTAAAACTCTTTAGCACGACCTATTTACGTTGCCTCACACATTGTCACATTTAAATACATTACCAGTTAGCTATTTTGGACGTAGGATTGAGTCGTGTAAACTGGTTAATCGACATAAAGCCATTCAAACTAATGGTCACATTCCGACCTAATAGACTGAATCCCATTAGCGTTGATGACTATAAAAGCATATCACTAACTAAGATATAAGGATTAGTCATTTGTATTATCTCAGTCCAACATAAAATCAGACATTGTCTGTTAGGGTGACACCACCGGCTATAGCGGAGGATAACTAGTGCCTTGAAGCTTTTGAATATTTCTTGGTTACTATTACCTATAAACTTCTCACTAACTACCTACAACCATCTGACAACGGACAATTCAATGTCTAATAAATAATAACGTAACAATTCTTATTATTACTTAACTTTTAAAGTCAAGTACGTAATTACCTCGTAAGTATTTCTGATGGAATCAGTAAAATCTAAATTGGACCTACAAAAAGTACCATCCTGTTATTATCTTTATTATTGTAATCTTATTAATTAGTAATATTTTAAGTGTAAAATTTACTAGAAAAAAAAGATAGAAATTACATATACATATATTGACAATAATAAGTAGTATGTTAAATAATCACAAAAATAACAATCGGTATTTATTATTAAATAAAATTACTTTTTTCAATGTTTCCAAATTCACATTAAGAGCTAATTCCGTTTTTAATTTATCTGGTAATAAACCTATTGTATTAATATCTTGACCACCACCACCGCAACCTCTAATTCATATTATCATAAAAGAAAATGAAACAATTAATCAATTAATCAATCAATCAATCAATCAATCAATCATTATTCATTTGGCAAATATCCAAATGAAAAGTAAACAAATATTGATAATAATAAAGTTAAAATATAAACAATTATTGAATAGAATAGAAGGTAATAAATAAAATAACAATGATCATTATATTATATTATACTATACTATGAAAACTATCCGAACACATTAGTAAAGAAACCCATGAACTAGAATAATAACTATTTATGAAGTCAATGTTTCTATGGAACTTTTCTGAAGTTTTCTTTGATTTGAATGACATTCAAATATTATTCTTATAAGAAGCATAAATTGGCTATAATTTCATTTAATTTTATATATTTGGAACATTCTAGAATGTTCAGTTGAATGGAACTTATCTCAAAATAGTTAATGAATAATAAAATAAATGTAACTATTGTTAATATTTTTCATTATCGAAATGATTCAATCTGGATTCAATGTGTTTTACTGATTACAAGAACTTTCAGATTGTATCATTTCATTTCTGCGACTCTCCTGGTCTTCCATATTATACGAGCATACCATGTACCTATATTAATAGTTACTCTGGTTGTTAGAAGAGGCATCAGCTTCGTGACTTCCGAAGGAGCTCAACTTTTATCATGAGGCGTTATAACTCTTCTAAATGAAGACCTTCTAATTCTCAGGGAAAAGTTTAAATGTTTTGAGTTATTTTTTTCTGGTCAGCGTTTTTTAGCGACTTAGTTTTCTACCATCCTTCTTCATCTGGGCTCCAGGTAGAGTTCTTACCGAAATTACAATGAATATATTTGACGCTTTTTACTTTAACTTCCTGTTTATTGAGTTGTTCATCAAGTTTTATTCAAATCATATTGATGATGAAATTGCTTTGTAATCGAATTCGAAGATTGAAATCTATAACTTATAATGATTTTTTTCATACATTATGTGATATTAGTTAATCTCATATCTACTTGTCATTAGTGACACTTATTATTCGTAGCATTATTAGTGTATCCCAATACAGAAGGTGGAACGTCTAACATAGTTTGTTTTACAAAGAAAGAATTCAGCTATTGACTATTAAATTTGATCAGCGTGTGAAAATAATGTCCTAATCGCTTAAAAAAATAATCATAATTATTCGTTGAGATCCTAAAGCTCTCATGTGGTAGGCAGGATGGGACGAATAGACTAGTGAAACTAGAAAAATCATCTTTGAAATGTAGGAACTAACTGCATGAAATATATTTGTTCAGCTGTTTAAAACGTAATTTCTTTTCATAAATGGCCTGGTAGAATTTATCATAGAAGAATGTATGATAAACATAGTATTTTAAATAATATCCTTCTGTTTAGCTCAAAATGAATAATCAAATATGTATGATCTTGGTAAACAATCTGGTCTTTTTATTTATAACTTATTATTTTCAAAATAGGTTTCATTATTGATTTGATGTTTTAGACAAGAAGTGATCATTTCACCGTCATCAAGGTGTTACAAAATCAACTGTCATACAAGATTATATATACGTATATATTCATTGATTTGTATAACTTTTCTGGTTAGTGTTGTTGCTGATAGCCAGACACTATCAGCAACAACCTACAATGGGAAAGAACAAACCGTATTCCAGCAGGGGAACAAATCAGGAAGAAGCGCTGGAAGTGGATAAGACACACATTGAGGAATGCACTGAACTGCGTCACAAGGCAAGTCCTGATTTGGAAACCTCAAAGAGAAAGGCGAAGAGGGAAACCAAATAACACTACGCCGAGAGATGGAGACAGACATTCAAAGAATGAACAACAATTGAATAGAACTATGAAGGAAGTCCCAGGACGAAGTGGGGTTGGACAATACTGGTCGGCGGCCTATGCTCCATTGTGGGTAACAGCCGTAAGTATATATATATATATATATATATATATATATATATATATATATATATATATATATTAGGAATATTGTTTACTCACTTAGACCATGCATAATCATACCATCTTAGAATACGACTTTGTAAATCTTTATCAACTGAATTAGCCCGCATGTAACTTTTAGCGTGGTCCTAAAAAACGAAAGTTATAAAATAAAAAAAATTAAAATACAGACTAGGAATTAAGATTTATTGCCTTATTTCATGCTAATGCTTAAAACTAGTAAATGTTTAAGTCGTATTAGATTATTTTTGGGTTAGACATTTAGAAATGAAATGAAAATCAAATTTCAATTGTTTTACAAATGATTACGTTCACCTTTGTGAGGTTTTGTACAATAATTGACACTGTTTGGAATAGCATTCTTTTCGCTTATCCTCTGTCTTCTCAATTGCGACGTGAGAGGATTCTAGCGTTCGAGTGCTGAAGTTGTATGTAGTATATAAGGAAAATATAAGCTCTAGATATAACAACTCCAATAGCCAGTCAAGTAATTTACAGTTTTGAAGCTTTTTAACTAAAAAAAATTAGTATGTATCTAATCATTTAGATGTGAGAAATAATGTAAGATTTTGAATAACATCATCTGATAGAGAATAAGTTCATCTAGCACAAAAATAGAAAGTACTACTACTATACTGAACAAAAAGACAAGCGGGGACAATTTAATGTATTTTTGAGTACAAAATGACAAGATCTCTTACTAAAATCTGAGAACCATACCATAAATAATTCATTTGCAAAATATCCATCAATTATGCTGGACTTGACTGTTCCTTTGTTTCCACGTCAATCAGTCTCGATTCTCGATCGCTTCTTTTCTATTTTCCTAACCTTGTGCCGCAAGTCATTCCACTTTTGATTGGTGATACGTGCTACTTATATCTATCGATATCAGTAGCATACACAACACTACTACTACGGATAATAAGCAGAATAATTGGTCATTTCCTTTCTAGCTTTTATTAATATTTTTTCCAAAAAAATACAACCGGTCTGGATTACTTTGACAAGAAAAAAATCTATTGCATTATATTTCTTCGTAGACTTAGTTAAGAAGTGAAACAAACATACATTACACGATTAATTTACTTTAGTCAGATAAAATTCGTGCATGTCATCAATTAAATTACTTATGGAATAAACTATTTCTTTCAAGCTTTATAAATAACTGACTCAGTAAAGGAATGAGAAAAGAATTTGTTTTGTATTTATTTACTTTCTTCCTAGACATAATCTCGTTTGACTCAGTAGTTTTTTAGGTAAATAGGACGACTGTCAGAGATATGACTAGAATAGTAAGTACCATAAATCACGATATGTTTCTGCCACTGTCATCAATCCTACACTGAGTAATTGAATCAGAACCATTTAAAAACTTAATTTTTTAAAGACATAACAATATCTCGTTACAGAAAAACGTTAGACGATTGTTAGATAATAAGCCAAGTTTCATTAAGCATAACGATGATGAAACAGCACAGAGTGTAATGCATGAAGTAATGTCTAAAATCACTAGTTATGCATGGTGTTCAGATCATTTAGCTGGACATTATAAGAAAGTGGAGTAGGTTTTAGTGTAACTACCTCTTAGAAATTTTTTAGTGTTATCACACCAAACACAATCACCTGATCCAAAAATCCTCCTAATCATATCAGCTTCATGTATATTTATCCCATTGTTGATTTTAATAGGGCTTATCTGTTATACTTATTTATTTGTTTATTTAAACACATAAACATTAGTATAAGGAGGTACCAAATAGATATGCACCACATAAGTCATCCGATTTATGTGGGGGATGGAATACTGCTTGGGTGACCAAACCGAAGCGGGTGGTCTTCCTAGGGGGCCACGCCCTTAGCCATTCACCTAAAGGTCTAATCCACAAGGCAGTGGAGCAACGTCAGGAGATGCAATCTCATGGTAGCCGGTGACCAATAATTGATTTTTACGCCATTTGTTTTCTTAGGATCATGGAGTCCATGTATGTTATTGGTTTGGAATCAGGGTTTTCCAACTCCCCGGTTGAAGCGTCATACATTCGTTTTTTGTCCTGTCAATTTCGTAAACAACACCTCCGCCACGAGAAGGCAGTGAGTAGGACTTCTCTTGCAGTGGTTGTATGCAAATGACCATGTGAGAGGATCTGTTCTAAACATTATAGCCTAGAGAATTATTTGTAAGAGATTTACATTAACAAATTTAAATAGAATTTAAGAGCTTCTTTCATCGTTTCAAAGTACTAAAGCGTACACATGTATTTACACATTACAATACAGTTTTGAATCAAACTAGAAAGCTGTAATCATTGATTTAAATAAAGATGACAAGCGGAAATTTCATTTGATTTACAAATGAAATAAAATTTTATCACTCTAGTGATCACTTGATACCATTCCATATATCTGCCCTTGAAGAACCATATTTCTACCATCATATTCTCTATTGAATGCGAAGAATTCATAATTCATAGAATATCCTAAATATAGCAATCAATTTGTGGCAAAAAGAAAGCTAAATGTGTTCTTTTCTTTCTTCCAAAATCAATTACAATGAATGTGTTGTTGTTTTTTGTATACTTTAGTTAAGCTGTTTCTCTCCTTAATAAATACTTTTTTTCTTTTTATGAATTTACTAAAGTAAAACTATTCCTGGACACTTTGAATTAAGGCCAATATTATTGATCTCTTTTTTTTTGTTTTGCTCAGTAGTTCTATCACTGTGAACAAAATTATATTAGTTAGTTTCTCATTTATTTTTATTTCTATGCGAATGAGAAATTCAGTATTAAGGTGAACTAGTTGAAATCTTCATTATGTTTATACCTTATTTCAATGTAATAATATAACTTAAGTATTTTATTAATGGTATATACATATATGTGTATATGAAAGTGTTTTGTACGATTTATAATTCTTACCAAAATTTTCTCAAACTCAATACGATCAGCATTTCTTGTTGTAATGATATTTCCTACCTGACCTGAAAGTAAACAAAAAAAGAAGGAGAAGAAACTCATTAATTATTCAATAGATAAATTTAGTAATTGTTTTTTTCTTCTTTGTTTTTCATATATCAAATATATATGTATTACAGAAGCGGACCGGCAAAGCAAGAGCAGTATATTTACAATTGGAGAACATCTGATACTCAAAACAACTGTTAATCAGCACCAAAGTCAGAATTTTCAATACGAATGTCAAAACAGTTCCAATGTATGTGACCGAAACTTGGAGAACTACGAAAGCCATCATCCGGAAGATACAAATGTTTATTAACAGTTGTCTATGCAAAATACTTCGGATTCGTTGGTCAGACACCATTAGCAACAACCTACTGGGAGACAGAACAAACCAGATTCCAATGGAGTTAGAAATCAAGAAGAAGCGCCAGAAGTGGATAGGACAAACATTGAAAAATCCACCAAAATGCGTCACAAGGCAAGCCGTCACTTGGAATCCTGGAGGCTAAAGAAGAGGAAGAGGAAGATCAAAGAACAGATTACTCGGAAAAAATGGACACAGACATGAGAAGAATGAACGAAATTGAATAGAGTGGATTGGAGAATGCTGGTTGGCGTCCTATGCTTCATTTGGAGTAGCAGGCGAAAGTAAGTAAGCAAATACTGTATTACCGAATGTATCTAGATTGATGTACAGTTTGAAGCATCATTGCTTCAATAATGAAATAAATTAGATATCTTGATAATTAAAAGTTAACTAGTGAGATCACTTGCAGAATTTGGATCTCCGTTAAATATTTCACATCATAATTGATATGCATATATATCACTCTTTACGTAACAAAAGCAATGCAGAGAAAACAAATAAGTTTTCAATGGTTGAGATCATGACTCAATTGAAGCTAGGTGATCATGGAAAACCTGGAAGCATTGGACAGCCGTTTCGTCCTGTTGTGAGACTCCTCAGCAGCGCCTACCCACTTCAGATATTAATCAACATATGCTCACCAGTGAATGGCTTCAAGAGGTATTTAGTGGAGCTCTAGTGTGAAGCATTGACCAGTGGAGTTTAACCAGGTCTGTTGTGAGATGGAGGAGGGTGGAGCAATTTCGTGGATTAGCTTAAGTTAAACATTAACACCGTTTGATGCCGGCTTAGTGTTCTAGACGTAAAGTGTTCACGCGTGAGACCAGTATGTATTAGGTTCGAATCTCGCGATTCGGGATCGTGAATGCGCACTCCTGACGAGTCCCATACTACGGTGAAACAGCCGTCCAGTGCTTTCAGGTTTTCCATAATAGTCTATGTTCAACTGACTCATGATCTCAACTATTAAAATTACAATTATATTCAAAAAACCCATTCTGAGAAATTATATGTTTATACTAAATAAAAATACTGCAATATTTCCCAGGACATTTTACCTTAAATGCTTCAAAGATTTGTAAGGTCCACTGCATTTCGTTAAAACTTATTCTATTTATAAAGCTTATTATTCTTTTTTGGTAATCATATTCCAACCAGTATTGATTAATTACACATAATTGAGAAAAACAATACATACAATTACGTGCTTCTTTAGATAATTTTGTTAGGAATTTCGTGACTAAAAACTTAATATGAAGTAATAAATTCATGCGAGTGATTTTGCCTTAATCAATTAGATTGGACTGTATATACAGTTCGCTAAGTAGACATTAAGTAGACTAACAAATTAAAATTCTTTGAACTCGGTATACCAATTAAGTAAACTAATATCACAGTTAAATTCATGAATCGATCTATGCCATATCACCATCGAAAATCTGGAAGCACTAGACGGTCGCCTTGTTTTAGTATGGGACTACCTCAGCAGTACACATTCATAACCCTGCATGCAAAACTCGAACCAAGAACCCTCTGTCTCGCGTGCGAACTCTTAACCTCTACACCACTGAGGCAGCATCCAATAGTGTTAATGTATAACTTCGATTAATTCATGATCTTGCTCAACCCAAAATCCATTGTCTGAGGTGGTGGTTGGATATACCGTTCCCTACAATTTTGAAAACTAATAACTGAAGTGATTCAAAATATAACCTGTAATTTTGTTACTATAATTTGCCTACAGAATATATTTTATAAGTACTATATAGTTTGTTCATTTTTCGAAATAAATAACTCAGAGAACAGTGGGGTTAAATACTTTTACACAATTATTTTTTACTGTGAATTCATTTATTTCAGAGATATTCCTTCCTAGAAAGGTTCGGACCATGTCAATCATAAGAATTACAGATTTTCTAATGTATAGAATACCTTAAAGAAATTGACAGTTTAGAACGTTACTGTAAATTAACTGATGAAGATTTTGTTGAAGACGTTCACTTTCAGATAATGGTTACCAATGTTCATGCAAATTTATTATTGGAAGAGTAAAAATTCAAAAGAATTTATAGTTACATGTATTCTTTTTTTATATTCGATTGTGTCTTCAGCTTATAGAAACATCACACAAATAACCACGTATTGTCTCATTTCTTATTCTATATTGAAAAGCTTACAATGTATCAGACCTTTAAAATAATCCCCATATGTGATGTAAAACAAAATCCAATCCAATCACATTCTACTTCAATACATCAAGTAGTACAATATGACACAGGTAAAACTCAGAAACATGACAGTTTGACAAATCAACAAAGCAAAGTTTACTAGTATGAAGGTTGTGGAGATTATCACGTTTTTGATTGATATCATGAACCGATTGATGTTAGACCACCACCCTTGGAAACCTGGAAGCACTGGGCGACCGTTTCGTTCTATTGTGGGACTCTTCAGCAGTGCGCATCCACGATCCCGCTTGAGGGATTCGAACTCAGGGCCTTCGGTCTAACGCCCGAACGCTTAACCTACTGGACCACTAAGCCGGAATCCAATGATGATAGTGTCTAACATCAACCAATCCACGAAATTGCGCGACCAAATTCCATTTTACTGAGGTAGATACCTGTCTCTACCCGACATGGATTAGGTCCACTGATCACAGCTTCTCACTAGAACTCCGAGAATTCCCTCACGAAGCTAGTCACTAGTGAGCACATGGTGATTACTAGTATGGGGTTTATTACGTTTTTGATTGAGACCATGAACCGATTGACGTTAGACCACCACCTTTGGAAACCTGGAAGCACTGGATGGCCGTTTCGTCCTATTGTGGGACCTCAGTACAATGGAAGTTGGTCGCGCAATTTCGTGGATTGGTTGATGTTAGACATTATCATCATTGGATTCCGGTTTAGTTGTCCAGTAGGTTAAGCGTTCGCGCGCGAGACCGAAGGCCCTGAGTTCGAATCCCTCAAGCGGGATCGTGGATGCGCACTGCTGAGGAGTCCCACAATAGGACGAAACGGCCGTCCAGTGCTTCCAGGTTTCCAAAAGTGGTGGTCTAACATCAATCGGTTCATGATCTCAATCAAAAGCAAAGTTTAATAAAATTTGTTTTCTCATCTTCACAAAAGTAAACTATAAGAGATATACGGTGTGTTCATGAAGGTGATTATCTAAAGTTTTCATAACTCAACATGATATAAAGAAGGGATACAATAAATAATGAGTTGATTCGATGGGTTAAGGAATTAAAAATTTGAACGTTTTCAAATTATCAAAAGTAAAATGACAGAAAATATTGATTAAATCAAAAACAAAATCTAACATGATTTGAAGGACTACCAAAATACTAATTTCTAATTAGTGATAATTATAGCAACTCACGCGCAATTGAGTTTGTTCTCATTTAATTCGGTTAAGCCCTTTTGTTAACTTATTTAGCGGACAAAGTCATCCATACTAAAGCAACTTATTGTACCTTTATCATTGTTGTGCTTGTATGCTTGAACATTGCTTACCCCAATGCATAAATTCATTCTGCTAGCTTCATTATTAGTTGCTTAGTTGATTTGATGATCCATTCATTTCCCTATATATATACATGTACATTCAACACTCTACACTCGGTTCACTGACTCACACATTCGCATCATTGCATTGTGGTCTGAGTTATCTGCCAATAAAACTGTATTCACTGCTTCTCTTTGCCTTCTGATCTCAAACACCGTTGAAGATTATATGATAACGGTTACGAGGATGATTGGGCAACGAAGCACAGCCACTACATAATCATGATATAATAATAAAAGTTGATCAGTTCTAAATAACCTAAAACACAACATTCATTACTCCTCAATGTGTAGGTAAAAGAACTTCCAAAATCTTCTGGAATATCCATTATTTTGATTTGGTAGAATTCTCATTAATCTTCCGATTTGAGTGTTAAGTAATATATATATATATATATATATATATATATATATATATATATATATAGGAAAACAATATTGTTATTCCTTTTTGTATTAGTCGTTTGAATATGCCAACTGATGTTTAGGACTGTAATTGATCGGTATCTTATTGGCATATGTGCATCCTGTGAAGATGGCCTTGATATTGTCTTAAGTCATAAGCATTATAATTAAAGACGGATGGTGGTTAGCAGCGGAAATCAAGACGTGCGTTTCGTCCTATTTGAGACTTGTTGGGTGGATGTACCCAATAGCCAATGATAGCCACCATCCATTTCTGCTTATATAATACTTGTAACTTAAGTCGATATCGAAGCCATACACACAAAATGCACATATACCAATAAGATACCGATCAATTGCAGTCCTAAACATCAATGGTAAGATTCAAACAACCAACACAAAAATGAAGTAGACTTCACTCCATTGAATAATGTAGTAGCTATCTGGACTCATTGGCTATATGAATAATGAGAACGGAGCGAACGGTACTGGGTTTAAGTCACGTAATGAACATCAACTCTAGGATGCAGGTACATCTATCTGACGAGCACCAAATAGCACTAATCGTGCTTCGAGGATTCTACTGATGACCACCATCTATGTTTGCTTATAATGCTTCAAGCAGTATTGCGTTTTCGACCACTATGTTTGCTGACTAGTATTTTGGTGGAAATTTTGTGATAATTATATAGTACCTATCCTGGAAGTTATCGAATAAATGTATATATCATTGCATAACTTGTAACAAACAAATGAAGTTATTTTTGTACACAATTAATAGATTTTCAAACATGAACATGAAAACAGTTTACATTGAGAAGAATGATTTATCTGTATGATGTTTATATATAAACATAAGTGTTCTCAGATTATGTGAAAGATTGTTTAACTTGAATCTTTTGAAAAATGTACGTAAAATTGTTGTTTTTTCTGTCAACTGATCGATGCAAAATTTTAAGATTAAATTGTTGTTTATATTAATTCATAAGTCGTAAATAAAGTCTTCTCCTTGATCGATGAAATATGATCAGCACTTGAAAGACTGAAATCGTAGTTGTAACGTTTTAGATTTAGTATCTGGGTGACGTAGGTTAAAATAGAACAGAGATTATTAAATTCTTCAAAACATCATGTGTTCCAACTAGTATAAAGCTTAAATTTACAGTCACTTATTGACCATTCCAAGCTAACTCAATAAATCTTCCACCGATTGTTATGCGTTATTTAATATAATACTCTGTTCATACTGATTTACAATACTTAGCCGTTGTTAAATCTAGATCATGCAATGACAAGACATTGTTGATCGGAATATGATTCTAATATGGATTTAAAATAATATAAATTAACATGTCCCCTTATTTGTGTGAAAAGTATCTTGTTGTTTAGGAAAAAATATTACGTCAAGTATAATCATGATTGTCTGTTTTATATATTTTGAGGTAAGTAGGCATAAAATTCATTACACGATACTAAGTAGTTGGCATTGTGGGACTCTTCTGCAGTGCGCATCCACGATCCCGCCTCATGAGATTTGAATTCAGGATTAATCGGTCTCGCGTGCGAATGCTTAAACCCTAGACCACTAAGCCGGCATCCAACGGTGTTAATGTCTAACTTTAACTAATCCACGAAATTGAGCGACATATCTACCATCGTCTTCAGTGAGTTAGTATGTATGTTGAAAAAGATATGATACTATAGAGTTATCATTCAAGTATTGTTAGAGGTACATAACACATGTCCCAGCCATCTCAACTGGTGAAGTTTTACTACTTAATCATTTGATTTGCCATCGTCACCCAGTAAATCAATTAATGAAGTAGTGGAACGTCTTTCTGTTCGCCCAAGTTCTAATATTCTGAATTCTTTATGTTCTTACCTTTTTTTCTCTTTCCAAATTTATTTCACTGGATTATACTCCTTAAATAACATCTTAAAACGCTAATGTTTCCGATTACTGCTTATACTCTTACTATATCTACGACTATGGGATTTGAATCGGCAATTTTATCTGTGTGCTAAAGTGGTATGGAAACTCGATCTGATATGTGTACTTACGAAGTTCTACGTTTTTGATTGACTGACTGACTGTTGGAGGTATTTTAAATGACTAAAATAATTTAATATTTGTCTTATTTGTCTACTTAAGTGTTAGTGTAAGTAGTTTTTTTATTCAAACGTTCCAACAATCAATAAAGTAAGGAGAATATGCACTAGCTAAAAAGGATTTTTATGTACTACTATTGTTCAGTAATTTTTATCTTGAAGACTTTAGTAATAAGGTGTGTTTTATCTTTCATTCATCATACTTCAAGTACAGGTTGATGTCTATTTTTACATAAAATCAATTTCTTTTTATATACAAATCTCAATCAACTTTCAGTCTTTTCTTTTTTGCTTTAATTGACTAAGATTTTATTTATATCATAATGTACTTTGTGTCAACTAATTTGGAAGTAAACATCAAAAAGGTGAATAACAACTGGAAAGAATTGTCCAGGACACAGTTCGATGAAGAATGCTGGTGGGTGGTCTATAATCCTTCACGATGGGTAACAGGCGTAAGCAAGTAATAAATAGAAATATGAGAAACTGACATTGTTTTGTAATTCTCAAGTGTTTTACAAAATTTCTTTCAACAATGAAGTACTTTATTACAAATAATTATGGACGTTTATTAATTTTTAGTGAAAGTGGGATTGTTTTCTAATCTGTTTAGTTTGAACACATAATTGTCTGCTATTTAGTTTTAAAGTGGGATTTAAAGACAATATTGCGTAATAAAACCTGAAAAGCAATATCCGTAAACTGATGAATGTAATACCGTTAGTGTGATGAATTTAATGTAGCTTGAAAACAAATAGTTGAAGTTATTTAAAATAGACATAATTATATGACATAGATATTATAAAAAGATCAATCATAGTACATAAGTCAGTTATAAACAAAGTTGTTCGTAACACATGTAATTATGATGATGTATGAATCACGAGAAATTAAATCCACTTACTGTTGTTTACATATATCTTTCGATTGTTATTTTGGACTGCAATTGATCAGTCTCTTATTGACATATGTGTTTCCTGTGCGGACTGCCTCAATATTGCCTTAGGTTACAAACTTGATAAGTAAAGATGGATAGTGTCTAGCAGTGGGATCCAGGACGCATGTTTTCTCCTATTTCAAACTCATCAGCTGGATGTACCTACATCTCAGAGTTGATGTTTACTATAGGACTCGAACCCAGTACCGTTCGCTTCAAAGGACATCGCATTATCCACTTAGCTACTGATTTTCGATAACCATTTGCAATAGAGTGAAGTTTTAAATTCATTTGGAGTTTTTGTCCCAGAGTGAACATCAGCTCTGAGATGCAGGTGCATCCAGCTGACGAGTCCCAAACAGGACGAAATGCGCGTCCTGGATTCCACTGCTAGCCACTATCCATCTTTATTTCATAGGAATTGTTTATAAATAATAACCAATATGAACTCTGGAACCAAGACCATCTAGCGGTTTTCATCAATCTATGTCTGATCCATAGTTATAAAAGCGTTATCGTTTGGCTTCATTTCTTGTAAACAGATATCGTACTCAATACACATTGAGTGAGGACAATTTTCTCAAATTGTCTTTCGGACTAAAAAGGATGGTAGATGTATGAATTGTGTTACTGGTAAAATTTCATTAATCGTGCAAATTTTATGATCATATAATAATAATGCGATTATGATAATTAAACCACTATTTCTAGCTATTTGTCATCTCTTTTCAAACAAATTTATTATTCACTGTCAAATAGCCATTATTTTAATGTTGCATAAGACGAGTTCTGTCAGATCTGTATTATTTGATGACTTTTCTCATTAAGTATTTTTCATTTATTTGGATTAGAATTATTAACACTTACCTACAATTGTAGCAAATACAAATACCCCAGTTAGATATGATACAATTGTGAATGTAAGCCTAGAAACAACAAATAAGAAAATAAAGAGAAGAGATAATACATTTGTTATCACCATGTAAATTTGTTTATAATAATAAGTAAGATAATGAATAAATAATTTCTTGTACTGACATGACAACAGTACTTAGAAGTATCACATGACGTACACCTAATGAAGATGCTCATTCCATTAGTAATGAATTAAAAGTGAATGAAATATATTTTACATGCATTTTCTAGACAGATTACTGACGTTCTTCTAGAAACTTCTTATTTCAACAGGTAACAAAGTTATTAAAGTGCAAAGGATGAAACATTAAAATAAGTATAAATATACAAAAGTAACTATGAATAACATTTCACTTATATAGAATTGATTCATTCAATTCATAAACTTAATTGGGACAAAAGTGAGCCCATGAAGGTTTGTGATAAAAAGAGGAAAGACTATAAAATAATAAAGAAAATTAGACCTTTTCACAACATTTAAATGTTCGTCGTATAAACAAAATGTATTTCACACACACACACACATGCACACAAAAAGTGTTTACACTACAAACAACATGTACAATTTGATAAAAATAAGAAAACTAATAAACATACACAAATTATAATTGAGTTGAGTAAATGAAGATAATTCAGGTAATAATTGATCGGAGGTCTGCTTGAATATCTGGGCCACCTGTTCCTGTCATCTAGATATTTCAATAAGTTATCTGTTTTCCTGTTTGTTTCAAAACACATCATTATGTCTGTTGAGGGTACAACCTATTCAGGCGCATTTATGAAATGTTTACAACCTTTCGCTGTACAGGTTATAAAAAGGTACAATCAGTGACATCAATGTGGCTGGCAATATGCATTGAAACGTGTTGGGATATTCGGAAAAATATACCAATAATTATCATGTTGACTCTAATGGTGACCTTGGACTTTAAATGGAAATTCCTTATTGGTCAATGTTTATTTCACTTGTTAAATATTATACAAATGTTGTTTCTATTTCATGGTACGATATGGTTTGTTTGATTGGTATGTAAACAGAGTATGTCTGAAATATAATGATTCATATCTCAGAGGCTGAGACTTGCGTTCTGGACTCAACTGACTCGGCTAGACAGGAGAGCTGGGTCAATCGGGACTCTAGGTCGTCCTTACGTGATTAATCCGATCGATAAACACGCTGTGCATCTAATCTGCAGTCCGAACGTTACAACAAAACGAATGAGCATTATTCAGATGTTGATTATCGAACTGGTAACATCTAACTGGCTATCACTCAGAATCGATCAAGAAATAAGAAAAGGAAAGTTATTGAAATACCTTGCTCTAGAGATTCTATATTGTACGAAAAATGTAATATTGAATAAAGCCTGTAATAATAATAGTAAGAGTATGGAAAAAATCCTTGCAAAAATTCAGTTAATTATATCTTGGAATTTCTTTGAGGTATACCATTGAAATTATTTATGAAACTACGTGACTACATTGTAGATTATAGTAATTACCAGAAAATGTAAATGATATTTTCATTATCTTTGAAGAAACTGTTGACCACAAATATATTCATATTTCTACAAACATATTCCAATCTAAAGAAAGGATTATAATACCGCTTAGTTCTCAATTGACATGAGTGGTACAGTAAATCAGAAGAATCTCAATATCAGAAACTTTATTTTCAAGTTCCTGAATAAGATTTTTTATCATTTAATCAGTAAATACATCAGTCAGCCAGTCAGCTACAACGTAGGACTAGGCACATATATGCATCGGTCCAAGTTGCCACACCTCATTAACACAACAAGATGAACACCGGATTCATGGAAGTAATTAATTCAGAGGTGGTAATATATAAAAGAAAGATTGCATATATGAACATAGTACAGGAAGAAAGAACTAGTTCGTAGAAAGAAAGAAAGCTTAAAGGAAGACAGAGAGGGTATACACCTACACCATTGTGATCGATTCTGAGCCATGTCACCCAGAGTCTCCAACCATTGGTTACGACAGTCATGCGGACCCCAACCAAGTAGTCTGTATCTACCAATAAGGCTAAGACTAGAAGTTAGTGACTTTATAGACTGATGCCACGTTTTGGTTTGGCCACCCCTAACTTTCTTCCAACCGTCTCCATCATTAGTCACTTTTGCAAGTATATACCATCGACTATTCAGCGAAACAAATGAATTATTGATTAAAAGTTCTGACTTAAGAACAGATACTTAACATGATTCATTAATTGAAATGCGAAAACAACAAACTGTAAATCAAATTGGTAATTTGTAAATCCCTATGTTTTCTAATTTTTTTTTGAAAGAAAAAATAAACAATCTTTAAAAATTTATTCAAACTTTTGTTTACCGCTTTATTTGATTAACGGTTTTCATTTGATTTACATATCTCTTGTAAATATGTATATATGTAAGTGAAATATAGACTGATATTGTATATTTTGTAATCATGTTAAAAGTAGTATATGGTTTGGAAGAATATCAGATTATTTACTTAGAATAAGTTTCAGAAAATAATTCAATCTTTATTTTTACTTCTTGCTAATCACAGAAAAATACTATCAAAAATCTCTGTTTAAACAGTTTATGTATATATACTACTGAAATTCGAAACAATTTCCGAATTAAATTATTCAACACATCATTCATTGGATAAATTAATAGTTATAAGTAAAGACGGATAGTGGCTAGTAGTGAAATCCAGGACGCGCGTTTCGTCCCATTTAGGACTCGTCAGACGGGTATACCTGTATCTCAAATTTGATGTTCACTCTGAGACTCGAACCCAGTTCTGTTCATTCAAGATCCCATCGCATTATCCACTTAGCTACTGAGTCCTGATAGCCACTTACTTGTGCATCTTTGATTATAATACTTGTGAGTTAAGGCAATATTGAGGCAATATGTACAGTATGTACATATACCAATAAGAGACTGATCAATTGCAGCCCTAAACATCAACGGGAAGATTTAAGTAAACAGTACTAAGTGAATGTAGACTTATATTTATTTATAAGAACATTGGTAAATATCTCCAGAATCATTAACATATATCTAAAACATGAAGTCTATAATTCTTGATAGATAGTTCTAAATTTTAATTTTATCTTGATTTCATTATGAATAGATGTTATGTAATATATTGAGTGAGCTGTTAGAACTATTTAACAGTAAATATATGTTTAGTATGATGTAATTAGTACATACGAAACTTGTCCAATTGTTAATTCCCCCCCCCTTAATAATGATATGTAATTATTTAACATCATAAGGGGTTTTTGTGGATATTATAGTGATTTAAATAATTGAGATCATGAGTCATTTGGAGCTGGACCACCATGGAAAACCTGGAAGCACTGGACGTTGAATTTGAAGTTAGGCGCAAACACCACTAGATGCCGACTCAGTGGTCTAGTGGTAAGGCGCATGTGAGCGATACCGATAGGTCTAGGGTTCGAATCCCGCGAGGTGAGATCTTGGATCCCACAATAGGACGAAACAGCTATCCAATGATTCCAGGTTTTCCATGATGGTGTAGCTTTAATTGAGTCATGAACTCAACTATTGAAATGTAATTATTTATTAATTTTTCTGTAAAAATAAATGAAATAGATTCCTTTTATCTTAAATATTTGATTGTCGGTTTTCCTTGAGTAAAAGTGTTATTTAAGAAACTAAAATATTCCATAGAATGTTCGTAACAAACATGCTTTAATACAGTAAATTATAATGAAGAAAAATACAACATTCATTCATGCAACAACTATAGTGTAAAGTGATACGACATTGATAAAAACGAAAACATATTGAGCATACCATAAATTCGACACTGAATTCTCATGATCACGAACACTAGATAGGTAGTTATAAGAGAAAAATAAATAACAGATTAAGAATAAATAATAATAATACAAGGTTTTTGTATTGGGTTGTACCCTTCTATCTGTTGTTTAATCTTTATGTGTCTATTAACAGCTCGAGAAAGCTTAATCTGGCTCAAATTTGTTTCTGTTTGAACATTACTTGAAACCAAATATCTAGGTCAAATTAGAGTAAGCAAGAATACAAGTGGGAACAACCAAATGCATAATTACAGAATCGTTTAGTAAAATCTGAGAACTATACAGTAAATAATTCATTTGCAAATTACCCATCAATTGTCTTAGACTTGACTGTTCCTTCGTTTCCACACTAATCATTCTCTGTTCTCATTCTCTTCTTTTCGATTTTTCTAATCTTCTAATGCTATGCTTTTCACTTTTCATTGGTGATACATACTACTTATATCTGTCGACTTCAATAACGCACATCATAATATTATGTATGACCCTTTGTAGTTCAACAAAACGTTTTTTGAATTTCTTAGTAATAAATGATGTCGTTAATACAGCTCCTTAGATTATTGTAACCCAATTTTTTCATTCTTTTTTCCATACAGTATGGTTACAATTAGTCATGTTCATACTACAAATTAGGACTTTAGAAATTTAAGAGGACAGTTAATATATTTCTTTTGTGTAGCTTAATTTATATCTACTTCAAGTCAAATGTACTGTTGAGCTGATAACTTATCTACTCTATGCACACACACAAACGATCTATCAAAAATTATAATTACACATAATGAATAAATATTGTGAACTGAAGTTCTAACTTAACAATGACCGAATTGATATTGTCATACAGATCTGAAAGTAATTACGAATAACAACATAATATCATTAATACCAAAGTAAGAACATAAGAGTAACATCATAAATAATGCAAATATTTACCGAATAGTGAAATCATTCAATGAAATACAATATCTTATGCAAACCTATAGTTTGTAGTGGCTTTGTTTCATTAATCAATTATCTCGATAACCGTTATCATATATATCTCAACGGTGTTTGAAATCAGAAGTCGAAGAGATAAGGCAACTATAGTTTATTAGCCGATAGCACAGACCACAAAGATATAAACACATCGAGCGTATTTGAAACGAAGAGGCGAATAAGTAT